GAAAAAACCGAACGTGGGCAAACCGCCTAGAACGGTGGTTCCGGGACTCGTCCTAAGGAGCCGCCGATGGGCAGACCGCCCAGGACTTCCTGCGCAAGAAACGGCTCCCCAGGTGAGCCATTGTCGACGGGAGCGCGCCCCGCGCGGGATCGGGGTTCGCACGGGGGCGCGGCTGCTCTCGCCTGTCCACACGGCATGCATTGCCGCGCCCTTCCAGCATAGCGTTTGCGCTGCATTCGCGCGGCGCCGTGCCTCTCAAATCGGAATAAACTTTCGGAGCGCCGATGTAGCAACAACAACCAGAGGGACAGCAACGGAAAGGTGATTCCAAGATGGACCCAACAAGGTTTTGAAAGGATCACGAGATTACCCCTGTCGCCCCAAGATGCCCACCCCTGCTAAGCAGTGGCCCCAATATGACCCCTGAGCGACCTTCAGGCCCCAAGAGAACACCGGGAAGAACCCACTGTGTTCCGACTGAACTAAGGCTACAGCGTGACCCCGATGCTAGGTGGCACTGGGACGACCCCGTGAGCCCAAAACGATTTCGATTTTGCCCCAATATGACCCCTTTTCAAACCCTAGTTGACGACTCCAAGATTGTGTCAATCTGGTTTGATTTCAGTGTGACTGCGATGCGTTTTTTTTCTGCCCTTACTCCTGGCTTGGGCCGATAGGACGGATGGGGGTGCTGGCCCTCCGCCCCCTCGTCGTCGTTTTCTTCCTCCTCCCCCTCGTCCTCGTCGCCCTCGTCGACGTCGTCGTCGCTGTTCGCCTGGTCCCGTTGGCCCCATACGTTGCAGAAAACCGAATCCCAAACACAAACCGAATCCATCAATGCTCTGGTATCGGAATCACCATCCTCGTCCTCGTCTTCATTCTCACCCTCACCCTAATCCTCGTCCTGGTCCTCGCCCTCGTCCTCATCATTTTCATTACATCGGCGTTCCGAAAGCTTACTCCGATTTGAGAGGCACGGCGCCGCGCGAATGCAGCGCAAACGCTATGCTGGAAGGGCGCGGCAATGCATGCCGTGTGGACAGGCGAGAGCAGCCGCGCCCCCGTGCGAACCCCGATCCCACGTGGGGCGCGTTCCCGTTGACAATGAGTCACCCGGGAAGCCGTTTCTTGCGCAGGAAGTCCTGGGCGGTCTGCCCATCGGCGGCTCCTTAGGACGAGTCCCAGAACCACCGTTCTAGGCGGTTTGCCCACGTTCGGTTTTTTCGGTTTCTTCGGCGTGGGCCCGAAGACCTCGAGAACGATGTCTTTGCAAAGAGTCCTGGGCGGTTTGCACATTTTCGGGTCGTTCGAACCGGACCCGAAATTTTTGTTTGCACAAGTCCTATGGGATTTGGCCATTTTCAGGTCGGCCGGTGCAGCTTTCGGGTCGTCGTATCACCGAACCCGAAAGCTTTTTTCGAGGAGATCCTATGCCGTTTGCTGATTTTCGGGTCAATACAGTTTGGGATTTAAAATCTTAAATTGGGAAAGGGAACCCGACCCCGCGACTCCGGGCGGGGGTTAAGCTCTGCCCTTGCATTGTACTGGGCCCCTCCGGCCAAACGGGGTGCTGGGCTGCCCTGCCCGTCGGCGCGCCGACTCTGCCCTCGCGACATCGTCCCCATCCGCCTGCGGGCCCCGCGAGTCTTATCCTGCGCCCACCCCAGATGGCCGCGGCGAGAATGGTGGCGAAATTGGGAAAACTTTCGGATCGGAGCAGTGTCCCCATCATAACCATCATAGTTACTCACCATCCTCATCGCCCTCATCATCCTCATTCTCATCACGGTGCCCCCTCGCACACTCGCCACTCAGAAAGCTGGGCCGGCACGGTGGCTCGACTTGCCGGAGACAGCTGGAGTTATGAGGCAGGGGGGGCGGAGGTGGAGGAGGAGGAAGGCGGAGGCGGAAGGGGGGGAGGGGAAGCGGGAGGCGAGTAGAAGGGGCGGGATGGAGAGGGGGCATGAATCGGAGGTCAGAAGAGTGGCAGGAAGCGACGGGCCAGGAACCGGGGTATGAGGATTTTTTACCGCGGCGCATACAATGCACCGATGATGATCAACTTGGGGAGGGCGATCGCCTGACTTCGTGCTCACTCTGGTTCTGTTGGGAATGACGGCGTTGTGTAAAATAGAACCAAAAATGCGACGAAGAAAACATTATCACATCACGGGGGAATCATTAATATCAAACCCAAGAACCGTCAGAACCGACGACGTGGACTCACCAGGAGAAAATGAAGGGGGGGGTCGCAAACTGACAGAAACACCTCCCTCACCACTAAGAGAGGGTTACGAAAAACTGATGACCGCCACCTGGGGAACTGCGGGGATATTGCAACGAAGAGGAGGGGTTGGGAATTCTGACGACGACGCGGCCGCCCGACCCGTTAGTCCCCTTTGCCGAAAGTGAACCGACGACGGCGCGCCCAGAAAAAACCCTAAGTCGCTTTCTACTGGAGTCGCGCTACTTATTACCACACAAGAACTCTGGGCCAGCTTCCCGAAGTGCCAGGAAACAGACCTGGACCAACTCCTGTTGTTGACGCTGGAGGGGCGAACGTGCTCGAGCAACTGTACCAGCTTTCCAGCAAGCTGGTCCAGAAACTCTGGCCCAGCTTTTCGAGAGGAGGTTCCTTAGTCAGGTGCTCGACTGCACGTCCAGGATGGGCGACGTGCCCCTTGAGGCTCCTGGCGCTCACGCAGCTCACCCAACTCAACAGTCCTGCCACCAGAGCTGCAGCAGTGATAGTCCCAGCGCACGCAGGGGAAAGAGCCGTCAGAGCAATCCACCGAACCGCAGCGGCGCTTCATCTGCGAAATCAAATCGGCGTTGAGGCGAGGGGGGGCTGGAAACAGCGGCCTGAAAGCGGGCGGACGTCGCCTCGATTGTCTTTCGGGGGCGCGCAAACATGGATTAGCGATTCATGGATTTGGCGCGCGGTCGCCAAATCCATGGATCGGGGGAAGTGCCCTCCCTAAAATGCGGCCGGTGCCGCCTTGTTCGGCGGCGGAAATCCGCGATTTCCCATGGAAACGGAACCCGTCGCTAATCCACGCCCCCTTGATCCATGTTTGCGATCGCCTGAGTCTTGCAGGCAGACACGACATTGCCGGCATCCCTCCACCCAACCCAGGTCGTGAACAAGATCCAACGCTGAGGAAGTGGGCTTTGGAGGAGGCTCAGTATACCCCACCTCTGAGAGGTCACAGGTTGGCCACCGCGGCAACAGTTTGATGGCCTAACGGATGGCGGGCTGGCTGACTTTTGCATCAACGTTGATCCTTTCCTGAGTTTAGGGGCCTGGCCGAGGGTGCAAGGAGGTTCCTAATTTCGCGGCTGCGTCCTCTGAAAACCTTCCTGCTCCGAGATCCCATGCTCGTCGAGATCTTTGTGAGCCGCGACTGTGACTACTTGCTCGATGTGTCGTTAGCCCCCCGAGAAGCGCTCACAGACAGATCCAGCGTGGGCCCGTTTCTCCAAAACGCGGTCCTGGGAGTCCCGAACACAAACGGAGGCAACACTGGCGCAATCTGAATCAATGAATGCGGGGTTGTCTTGATTGACCCCTGCCGCTGCTAGTGATGAGAACTCTCCCGCCTGGGGGGCCCGAGGGAAATGCGACAACACAAGGCCGTCACATCGCCCCATCAGAGCCCCCCCGTCCGACACCCGAGCGAAGGACCAGCCCGCGCGAGAGAGTTATTCAATCGCCAATTCGAGGCAACTGCCATCTGGGAACATGTGCCGAGAAAAACTGAAGCACCCAGGACCGTAGAACGCCATGCCCTCCTCCTGGAACCCTTCCCCGAAATATCGAAGAATTCCCTCCCCGAAAGGTAAAGCGTACATCGTTAAACACCCAAGAACCACACGCGTCGAAGGAGAAGGAGGAGAACGATGAGGACCAATACAACCCAAGACCAATCAACGATGTTGGAATACATCCTCCCTCCAAGCTCCACCTTCATGGGCCCCTACACGGATTCACATCCACTGAAGGAATTGCCCAGTTGGGAGACAACCGTTCGAGGATCCCGAAGCGTGCCAAAACAGGTTCTCGGGACTCCAGCGCCACGGCTGAACCTGACTGCTGCAGATTGACGATCCTGAGTCGTGCCAGAACGTAATCCCTGGGACTTCAACACCGCGAATCAACATGCGTAACTGTTGCGCCCTGACAGCCCCGAATCGTTCCAAAACACCCTTTCTGGTGCGTTGACCATGGGATTCGGCGAAACTCTGGCAAGTGTTTAAAGCCGCGAATATGCGCGGCGTTCAGGCGAGAGCCACATATTGAAAAGGAGCCGCATTCAATCCGTGAAACGTTCGCATGTTATAAGTCGAATGTGCGCGGCGGTAAAGCAAAAGCCACATTTTGAAAAGGAGCAACCATCAATCCGTGAAGTTCTTGCAATTGTTTAAGACGAGTGTGCGCAGCATTGAGGCGAGAGCCACAGTTTGAAAACGACCCGCGCTCAATCCGAGAAGCTATTGAATGTTGAAACGAATGTGCACGGCGCTACGGTGAGAGCCACATATTGGAACGACCCGCCATCTACTGTGAAACCGCTGCCAACATTAAGCTTCATAAGCATAAGAGGTAAAGACGTCTCAAGCGAAACGCTGAGCCCGCCCTTCCGATTACCCTCGGGGTCAGACAGGGAGGAATTATACATAAGGAAAATAATGGACGAGGAGGAAAACGATAATGAGGATGATGCTGATGATACTGATGATGAGGGCGAAGAGGAGGAGGAGGAGGAGGAGGAGGAGGACGAGGAGGTGGAGGTAAAGTATGAGGATGAGGAAGAGGAAGAGGAGGAGGAGGAGGAGGAGAAGGAGGAGGAAGAGGAGGAGGATGAGGAGGATAAGGACGACGACGAGCACGATGACGAGGATGGAGAGGGGGCAATGGGATGCAAGGGGGAAGAGGAGAAGGAGGAGGAGCCTGGCGCCCTGGACCCCGAATCTCCCCCGCGCCCCGGGGCAGCCGAGGCCTCGAGCAGAGGCCCGAAGAGCGGGGCATCGCCCTCCTGGCCGTCCAGAAGTGCCTCCCCTGCCCGCGGGAGTTCCCTGCAGCCGCCTCCTCCCCATCCTACTGCTCCTCCCCCTCCTACTGTTCCTCCTCCTCCTCCTCCTCCTCCTCCTCTTCCTCCTCCTCCTCCTGCTCCTCATCCTGCAATCCGAAAGCAAGCCAGTCGACACCCGCACTCGGCCCCCTCTGAGCTTGGCCGAGGGCACGATGACAGGGTAGGACACGAAGACGATTGTGGCGAATACGCCCCAGAGCAGCCAACCGCCTCCAGCAGCCGCCCAACTAGGCCGCCGCGGCGGCGCGCAGCGCCATTGCAAGGCCGGCGTCGCTCGCCCCCAGGGCCGTGCGCAGTTGCCGGGCGGTGGCCCGCTGCAGCGCCACGCTGAACTCGCGGCCCCAACGGGCCACGAGCTGCCCTGCGAGGGCCTCGGCGGCGCCGTCGTCGCTCGGCTCGAGCAATCACGCCTGCTCCCAGGCCAGGCAGCGGAGGTGCCGCAGGGTCGCTTGGCCGTGGCGGCCCGCTGTTTCCAGCGCCTGCGGCACCATGCGCCAAGGCGCCTGCCCGGCTAGGTACCGCTGGCGCTTGTCCGCCTCAGCGGCGGCGTTCACGGCGCCGTCCTGGCCCGCGGCGGCCAGCGCGTCGGCGTCGCCCGGCACGCTGCACCGGACCGCCACGTCGAAGAAAATGCGCGGCTGCCCCGGCCGCTGGACCAGGTCGAGGATGGCCTCCTCGCGCGCAGAAGCCAGGGCGCGGCCGCGCAGGCCGCGCAGGCAGCGGCTGGCCGCGCCTCCGCGGTCCCGCGCGCGTCGCAGCCGGCGCAGCTCCACACCCAAAAGTCCCATGCTGGGACATGGACCTGGGGCGCAGCGGACTGGCCGCAGTCCGCTTGGACTTGCTGCGAAGCGCGTTCCAGGTCCGCGCTGCGGGCCTTCAGGCCTCCGCCGCGCGAGCACAACCAAGCGCGGCAGGCCTTGCGGCAGAGTGCCTCGCCGCAGCGCTTTCCGGAGCGCTCGCCTGTGCGGGCGCGGCGGCGCTGCGTCCTGCCACAGGAGGCAGCGGGCAGCGGCCTTGCAGTCCGCGTCCTCCAGCCGCTCGTGGGCCTACCCGGGCGCTGCTGTCGGCCACCCGGAGGCGTGCAGCCCGCCGCAAGAGCACAAGCGCGCCCTGGCTACAAGGCCCCTAGCAAGGGTTTTTGTTCTGACAATCTTCACTGTCAGGGTCTTCGGGTTGGCGTCTCAGCCAGCTCTCGCCGGGTGGATAACTCGGCGGGCTCCTCGCCAGGCCGGGGCTGCGGCGGTGCCAGTTGCGCGAGCCCGGCCAGCGCGTCGCTGCAAGCGCGTGCGAGCGGGAGCGTGCTAGGGTCCAGCTTCTCCAGGCATGCGAGGCTGGTGCGCTCTTGGACACCGCTCAGGCCGTACGCTCAGGAGGCAGCCCAGGCCGCCGGCGCCAGCTGCCGCTGGCTGCGTACGCCGCGCCCGCCGGTCCGCAGCGGCAGGTGGCACTGCGCCCGCTGCGGATCTGACAGAGGGTGCAGTTCCTCCTCCTCCTCCTCCTCCTCCTCCTCCTCCTCCTCCTGCTCCTGCTCCTCCTCCTCCTCCTCCTCCTCCTCCTCCTCCTCCTCCTCCTCCTCCTCCTCCTCTTATTCTTCTTAGTATTACTCTCATTATTCCTCGTATCATTGGTAGTATTAGTATTCGTATTATTAATACGTTTCTTATTCTTAATATTCGTATTCGTATTATTTTGGCTAGTGTTGATTATTATGCTCATTCGTAGCATTGCAAGTATTATGTGTAATAGTAGTAGTATGATCCTTCTCCGTGTTCTCATTATTAGTATGCTTACTACCAATAGTAAAAAATATTATTCGTAGTCTTGTTATTATTCTTAGATTGGTATGACAACTGTTATTCGTGTTATGTTTGTAAGTAGTAGTCTGGTCTTCTTCGGAACATGAGTAGTATGAGTCGTAGTGTTATGCTTGTTCGTAGTAGTATTATTAACCATATTATCCTGATAATTAGTATTACTCCTCCTTCTCCTCCTCCACCTCCTCCTCCGCCTCCTCTTCCTCCTCCTCCTCCTCCTCCTCCTCCTCCTTCGCGTCCCTCTCTGCCTCCTCCCCCTCCGCCTCCTCTTCCTCCTCCTACTCATCCCTCTCTTCCTCCTCCCCTTCGTCCTCAACCTCCTCCTCCTCCTCCTCCTCCATTCCTGCTCCTCCTCATCCTCCTCCTCCGCCTCCTCCTCTTTCCTCCTCCTCGTCCTTCTCCTCTTCCTCCTCCTGCCCCTCCTCCTCCTTCTCGTCCTCTTCCTCCTCCTCCTCCTCCTCCTCCTCCTCCTCCTCCATTCCTCCATTCCTCCACTCCTCCAATCCATCATCCCTCAATTCCTCCATTCCTCTATTCCTCCATTCCTCCATTCCTCCATTCCTCCTTTCCTCCCCTCCTCCATCCCTCCATTC